TAAATGTTTCGAAAATAAATTTTAAACAGTTATATAACTGTTTAACTGTATATAATCTATATATCAATAATTCTTCTTTTATTTAAGTATGAAATATTTTTTTATAGAAATAAAAACAATATGTTACATTTTTTTATTAATTTAACGATAAAAAACGAACAAATGGAATCATCACATATATTCTATGAAATAATGTGAACAATTTTCAAAATTAATTTTATCTTTCATCGAAATCAATATCATAAATCGGCCATTTATAAATTTTTTTTCGTAAAAATTAAATATTATCTGACGGCTACTATATAATATGCAAATTACATCGTAATAATTATTAGACAATTTAATTATTTGTCTACAAACATTTTCGATTGGATTTGATAAAAAAAAATGACACAAAGATTTGTATAATATAATTACCTGCATTCCTGTTTCAACGCAATACTCTTCACGTTTCGATAAAATACAGAGATGAATTTAATACCGTAAGTTGCACGTGCGTGCGCTCATGCGATGCGCACGCATGCTACGGTTAATTGTAATTTATGCTCAAACGATTTAAGTTCGAATAGTTATTTCATTTATATTATCACTTTTTGTCTCTGTATTATTTGAATAATTTTATATTTAATTAATCAATAATTGATTTATAAAACACACTACTGAGATTACATAATGCAAATGATTTCCTTTGCAATATCTATAAAATAAAGAATTGTTTTAGTTAAGACTTATTATGAAAAATCTATCAATTCTGAGTTAATGATTGTGTAATGATTTAATAACTTTAGTTATATAAAAAATTTTCTTCTATAATTAAATTATTGTAAGTATAAATATTTGAAATTTACGATCATAAAAATTTATTTCATAATATAAGGTTAAGTTTATTATTCATATATATATGAAGTACATATAATTGTTTCAGGTTTCTGTAAAAAATGATTGTAATATCTTTATTCCCGCGTTTCGTTTTCAGTAGAATAAGTTGCAAATTTTCTACGGATTTTATTTTGTTTCGATTGATGTTTAAAGGAAAAAAAAAGAACGTGCCAATCGAACATCGACAAAATAGGCTCTGTAAGGCTACAAACAAGAGCCGACGATTATTGAGCGGGCAAAGATAAAAGGTCGGTTTGACTGCCATAAAACAAAGTGCATGCAGCTCCATTTTATGCTGATCGATTTGTGGTGATTTTATAACTTCGCTTGTCCATAGTAGTCTCGTGTAGATGCCGCCGTTCAAACGAGCCGCGATAGTTTATATCTATGGCATGAACACAAAATAGAGCTTTATATATTCCAGTAGAAGGAACCGAACTTTTTTTTTTTTTTTAAATTTCTTTGTGCTACATTCAGCGATCGAAATAAAATCTGTTGTTAACTTTGAGTAAGAATTTTATTGCTTTATCTATATTTTATTTATTATATATATTATGAAATTTTATTGAATCATTTTAATTAAATTATCATAAAATATTATTTTTATTTATATACATTTATTGTATTCTTATTTTTAAACATTTAATATATAAAAATTATTACACAATTAGTGATTATAACCATTGTTGAAATTATAACTTTACTATATTGTTTGAAATTCGGGGAAATATTTAATAAAGTTTCATATTTCTGTAACATTTCTTTTATGATTATTTCTTCTCAGAAGAAACTATGTCTTTGAAAGGCACATTTTCAAAACTAATATACATGTATCGAAGCTGCCATAAATAGTTTGCTGATACATACAAGAATTAATATATTTTATATTTGTCTTTATGATCTATTTAATATCTATTTCATATAACTACTGGAGATCAAAATATAATCAAATGTCTTATTGTCTTCTTGTAATGTAAATTTAAATATATATTTATATCAATAAGAATATGAATGTCAAAAAAACTTCAAATAGGACATTTCGATTCCGTTGAACCTTCCGATTCCGCGGAAAAATCTTCAGCTGCCAGAGCAAGAACTTCTTCGCACACTCGTTTATAAACCCATGCATTACCCTTTAATCGTTTTCTTCGAATACCAACTAATTTGTTATTTGAGATACCCTCTAATAAACAAACTTCTAATTCAAAAGAACAGGCATTCCTAGATGAAAATGGTCGCATTGCGTCTTTATCATCCTCTGTACAATCTTCCGTCTCTCCTTGTAAGATAAACCTGGAAATATTTTTATAATGAATATAAAAAATTAACATTATAAAAAAAATTCGACATTACCCTTTTTGATGACACATAATTCCTTTACGACGAAGTGCACGACGTAATTGTGAAAGAACATATTTCGGATCATCACTGGACGTTGATGATACATTACAAAGACCCTATAAAAAATTTTATTATGATAAATTCGAATTCAAAACATATATTATATATATTATATATATTATCAATCATATATAAATAAATAAATAAATAAATATATATATATATATATATATATACACACACACACCTTCCCAGAAAGTACGTTAGGTTGATCAGGATCGATATTTTCATTCTTCACGCGTCTCTTTGGCGTAAGGACGTAACGTACACGATTCAATCCACGTTCTAAACCCATTATTACTTTCCTTGCACTTCCCGGTGTACATGATTGTGATTCTCTATATTATTAATATTATTTTTTTTCAATATTTCCTTTAAATATTACTTCATTGTTATTTAGATTATTATTAAACAAATACCTCGAATCTGATATTGTAGTACTAGTTGGAGTAGAAACAAACCTATCTTTTTCTGCAATTCTCTTTATAGGAACTGTAATCAATTTTTTATTAATTATTATATAAATTGCATTTGATATTTAAATAAAAAACATGGACAAATAGAAATTAAAAGGAATTAAGAAAAAAAGATAAGGAATAGTAAGAGATATTATATCTCTTAAAAGGGAATGGGATAAAGAATTCTTACATATATTTGTAACTCCAAATTGTGTTTGTTCACAAGTCGTTGCTCTTCTCTAATTATCTGCTTTTCACACAACTACAGCAATTTATGGCACTTCGAAACTTTCATTAAAGTTTCTAATTAGATGGCTAGCATCACCTAATTAGAAGTAAACTTTAGAAAATATATTACAAAATATATATACTATATATATATATATATACTATGTATGTACATATATGTTATTATAAAAGCCTGAATATCAGAAAATATATTATATATAATGGCTTAAAATTTACCAACCAATGTATAAATCAGTATAAATAATATCAATACAAATATTGTGAAATCAATATTTTATCGAAATTAGTTGATATTGACATTTATTATTAAGTTGTGATTTCAAGCAAAGTCATGTAATTATTTATCTATAGAGAATTTGAGCGAAAATGAGAAAGAGCGAAGATGAAGAGCGAAGATGAAGAGCTAAAATGAAATAATTCTTAACAATCGAAATTATAATGAATAGTTATGATAATGGTAGATATCAATTTATTATTAATGTTTATTGTTGTTATCGGTTATTGTAATTTCGATTGTCTGAGTTTTTTGAAATCTGCGGAATGCTCAAACTTTCTATAGATAGAAACGATGTTGTTATTTTATTATTAATTCTTATCAGATATTAATAGTAAATCTCACTTATATCAATACAAATCTGTAAAAGAAATACAAATTGTTACCTTCATCAATTTAATTTTGACTTCTTGACCGCGAATTATTAATAAATTTTAACATTTTTCCGGAAAAAACTTAACATTTTCCAGTATTCAAATTATACATACATATATATATAAACAACTTATAAAACACAAATTCGAAGTTCATTAAAAAGATGAGCATTATTAAATATTTATATAATTTTTTATAATAAAATATAAAAATCAAAAAAGGATAATAAAAGAACAATAAAATAAAATATACATGAAATAAAATATAAAGCTAATAGAAAAATAAATTTAATTTTTTAAAACATACCAGGAGAACATGCATCATCTTCTTCTTTACTTCGGAGTCGTTTTCTACCAGGCAAATGTGGTTCCATGAAACTATTAGCTGTATATAAAATAATAATTATATATTTGTATTAATTTAAATATAATTAATATTAATATAAAAATAAAAATATGAAAATTAAAATGAAACCTACTAGTTTCAGGTGTTTTTGGCAAAATCTTGAAAGTAGTGTCTATTATCGGAGATCTAATAAATTTACTTCTTGGAGAATAATCAAGTTTAGTTATAATACCATTATCATTTCCTTCATACTATAAGTAATAAAATAAAACAAATTTAAATTTAAATTTCCTAAAATATATTTAATATTTAATTAGATTTAAAAAAATGAAATAACTTGTTACCTCAGATTTAAAATGTGATTTTGCAGAAGATGATATTCGAAGTGAAAGTCCACGTAGTTTTCTATCTAAAAGTAAAAGATATGTGGCAGTTTTATAATCTGTTCGATCACTTTTTACAAGTTTTTTCCATATATCTGAAGTATTTTCACCACATATTGCAGACATTGTACTTAATACATCATCATCTTTTTGAAACTATATATATATTAAAAAAATGTTAATGTATTTTATATATTAAAAATTTATAAAAAGTATATATAAAATATAAAAAAATACAAAAAAAACATTTACATTTGTTTTATGAACAAATGAAACAGGATTGAGAAATCCTGCTGTAATCCATGGATGATTGCATAATTCTTGAATCGTAATTCTTTTTTTTGGATCTATTTGTAGCATTGCTTGTATTAATTTTTTACTACTGCTTGATAACCAGCTTGGTTCATCATATTTACCACTCTAAAATTGTTATTATCAATCATTGTCTTTGCAAATTCAAATAAAATTGAAAATCTTACAAGAATCTTTCTATATAAATTTTCTATACTGTTATCATCAAAGGGAAGAAAGCCACAAAGTAATGCATAAAGAAGGACTCCCATACTCCAAATATCTACTTCTGAACCTATAAAAGATATATCAATCATATCTTTATAATATATATATATATATATATATATATATCTTTTAATATAATATTATTAATATCATGTTTAATAATATAATATATACCTAAGTATTTTTTGCCCAATATAAGCTCTGGTGCTGCATATGTTGGAGAACCACAGGATGTTTGTAAATGTGAATCTATTCCATTTTTTGGTTTTGCACATAATCCAAAATCTATGAGCTTTAAATTCTCTTCTTTATCTAACAAAACATTCTCCTATATAAAAATAATATTGTTTGCTACTTGAGATTATTTGTTTTAATTAATATTAAAATATTAGTCATTAAAAAATATTTTAACTTACAGGTTTTAAATCACGATGAGCATATCCTAAGCTATGTAAATATGCTACCGCAGAAACAATTTGACGAAAAAATTTGCGCGATTCTGCTTCAGAAAGTTTATTTTTTTCAACTATAAAACAAAGATAAATCTATAATTTTTTAAATTTTAAATGATAAAATAATATAGATTTGAAAATGAATTGAATGTATTAATTACCAATATGATCGAATAATTCTCCTCCTGAACAATATTCTATTACCATAAAATAATGACTCTCTGTTTCTATTACTTGATACAATCGACAAATATGTTGATGCAATAAAGTTTTTAATGCTTGAACTTCTAATTTAACTCTAGGCAAGTCATCCTAAGAATTCAGAAATTTATTGCAGCAACTATCAATTTATTGAATTTTAAGAATTACTTACACCCAATGATGTTTTGTCCATTATTTTGATAGCAACTTTTTCGCCGGTTGCAATATGCGTGGCAAGTTTAACTTTAGCGAAACCTCCGCTTCCGATAGTCTTTTCCAAATCATATAAACCTTTAAGCGCACCATATCGTACCATTGTAATAAATTTATAAAAATTTCACGAATTATGTATATATTTATTATACACTGTCAATCACATTACTTTTGAACTCACAAATTTTAACGTAAACAAGTTTTGAAAACCAATCATGAAGCGAATCATCATATACAACTAACTTCAGAGTATTAATAGTACCAATATAAAAATATAATTGGAAATTCTGATGAAAATTTTAGGAATTTCATACATAAGATTATAAGATTTTATTTTATATACAATTTTACAGTAAATTAAAAATAATTTTAAAAACATAAAATATATTACTTCTTATTTATTTTGAATAATGATTATACAACATGTTATAAATATCTTTTTAAATTATATGAAAATTTTTTATTCTCCATGTAATCTAAATTTGTTAAATTCTTGTTATTTCTAAGAATAATTTTACAGAAAATATAACTTAGTTCCATTTGTAAATTTAAATCTTTTCAATACATTTACAATTTTTTTTTCAATACAAAGAAACGTTGAAATATAGAATTATATCTAAAAATATCTTCAAATGTAACTTATATATTAATTATTTACTATATAAAAGTATTTTTAATTTACAGAAATGCTATATAGATAGAATATACGTTTAATATTAAATATTTTAGCTTATGTTTTTTCAAAATTATATATAATTAAACAATTAAACAGTTATAATTTTTAACACATTATATTCATTCTGTAGAAATACAAAAATTATCGACATATAAGAGAATTCTAATTACTGGAAAATTGAAATTTACATTTAAAATATATTAAAACCTAATATTATTTGAAATATTATTAATTTAAGACAGGATTTCTTATATATAAATTCATATATGTTATAAAGAAACAAATTCTAATAAGATTTGAAAATATAATAAATGTAATTTACTGCATAAATTATATTTCTTCTTCATAATGCAGAAAAATAAAAATAAAAATAATTGCATTTAATCTTTGGAGTGTTGACTACTAGAACTAGTCGAACGTGAGCGACGTTTAAATTTTGGTTGATTGTTAGAGTCTGAGGTATTATCACTTTTTCTTCGATTTTTATCATAACGAGATGAATTAATATCCGTATCATGGTTAGAATTAGAGTTATTTGTCTTTCTATAATCATTGCGTCTATCATAATATCTGTAATTATCTCTACCAGGTCTATTAATTCTATAAAAATCTCGTCTTCGAGGATAATAATTTCTTCTATTTCTTCTATCGCGACTATTTCTACGATCGTAATCTCTATCTCGAGATCTACGTCGATCTCGCGATCTAGACCGACCAGATCCCCGCCTTTTACTTCTATCTCGAGATTCTCGTCGTGAAGACCTATTACCATACGATCGATGTAAATCACGTTTCAATAACTTCTCATTTTTATGTTTTCCATCTATTTTGTCTTTTGTTATAGTATCATTAATATCTGAACTAGTATTTAAATTATCTTGTTCTTGATCTATATTTTTACTACCACTTTTTTTTTCATCAGATTGATCATTTTCTTTATTTTCCAATTCCTCAGATATATGCGCTTCGACATCAAATTTATCCACTATTTGATTATCTTCATCAGGATTTTCAGTAAACTTTTTAATTCTATCAGCTTCGCGTTTTTTCAATTCTTCTTCTTTTTTTAGGCGTTCTTTTTCTAACTTCTGCAATAAAGTTAAATATATAAAAATATAATTATGAATTAATTGTATTATATTTTTTTAAATATTGTAATATACCTGAAATTCATGCAATTTAATAGTACGATTTTGAGCTTGTTTCCAATGAGGTGGTGTAACACTTCTCGAACGACTACGTGATGGTGTATGATATCGCTGAAAATTTATTTATTATTTATATTATTATCTGATATCATATATAAAAAAAAAATTAAATTTTAAAAATAGAAAATATTTCATTATAAAATTTAATGTTTATTACATTAATGTTTCATTAAAAATTTATTTAAAAATTCATACATACCATATGTTGTATATTGCACACAAATACTTACAAAAATTCCTCTTCCTTTAAATATGCGACCAGTTTTTCTATGTGATCGTACCCGATCTCTTCCATAATGTTGTCTAAATTCTTTTTGATTTGCATTATTAGTAGGTCCTGCTCTATATAAAAATTTATTCGCTGGTACTTCCGGAATTTCATCAGGATCGATTTTTGTAACCGAAACAAGAGGATGAGGTTTTCCAAGTTCATCTTCATTAGAATCATGAATTTCACCATCCTCCGATTTTGCTCTTTTTTTACTGTAATATATATAAATAAATAATATATATTTTTAAATTAATTTATACATTATAAATCTCAAATTTATTATACTTTTTTTTGGCCTTTTTTTTCTTTTTAGGTTTTTCAGCATATGAATCAGAATCAGATTCGGACGAACTGCTTTCCTTTGTTTCATGTTTCTTTGCTGTAAAAATAATTAATTAATATAACTAATGCAATTGATCAATTAAAATAATAAAACTAACTTTAACTATTCTAATAATTTTTTTAATTTATAAATAAATAAATAATGTAAAATATACCTTTACTTTTGACTTTCAGTACAAGTTCTCCACAATTTACAACCTTCGCATCTTGTAATGGGCGAGACATACGATCTACTGGAAGTCCCTCAATATGTGTAACAATTTCCTGGCCAGACACTACTTCTCCAAAAACCACATGGACACTAGAAATTATATATAAATATAAAAAAAATTGCTCAAAAATAATTTTAATAATTAAAATATTACTTAAAATTACTTACTTGTCGAGGTGAGGCGCTGGTTGTGTTGTACTACAACAACAAAATATGATTAAGGGGATGAGAGATGAACAGAAAGAGCCAGCTTTCATTGGTCATTGTGTTGTAGTAGTGGTGTGCAGACCCTTCCCTCACGACTACACAGAAATATAGCTAAGTTATTCATTCCTTCAAAGATATTCTTATTTCTATACTTTTCAATATTCACTGGAAGTTTATGTGCTTCATATAAATCATTAAATACTGAACTATGATTACATCAAGAACTGATAATTAAATTTATTACTAAAATTAACAAACCCAAATACCCTTTATTTATTATACCACCTGCTATTTATTTGAAACATATTTGAAAATATATTAGCATGAAGAAATGTTAAAATGTGAAAATAAATATATATTAAATTCCTATTACCTTTACCTTTGAGGTTGTCAAAGTATACATCTGTCAGCAGAGAAAAATAATTTTGAGCCAGTAGAAATATTAAAAAATAAAATTTATACACAAAATGTTTTTAGAAGTATAAGTGTTAACCTTAGTAAGCTGATCATTTTTGTTAATAATGACATGCAAAATAAATATTTATTATAAAATAATATAATGCATTAATATTTTATAATTTTAAGATTCTACACATATCATTCTAATATATATACATATATATATATATATATATATA